CAAAGGGCATTTATAGCAAAATTACAATAGTTTACCTTACCTCTTGGGACAAATAAGTAAAAATTTTCAAAAAACTACTCGACCCATATACTCCAATTTTGTTGCTGTTATTTAGAAGTATGAATGCAGATTTGACGGATTGCAAGTAGTTGCGTGAAATTATCGTCGCATTACCAACAAGTGCCAAAACCTGCATTTTGCCTCGTTTCTCGGCCATAACATTCTTGATATTAGTCGCATCTTTTTACGTGGTCTCATTTTGTAGGTCTCTTAAGTACCTAAAATCTGGTATGAAAAGTTTGTTCGTTCCTGCCAACACTTTCGATTGAATCACAAAACCACGTTTTCTCATTCTTTGTTGTCAAACAAAGTTTTCCGACAAAAATTGTATATCCATTTTATGCGTCCATGTTTTAAATACCCCGTTATACAACATGCACCAAATCATACTTTACAATTATTATCATTAGACTATTAGTTAATTAGTTGCTATAAGGTTTCTAACTAAATTATTGATGCTACTTGTTCACTTGTTTTGTGTTAAATAAAATATCCAAAAAATATGGCAGCATTTTCATTTCGTCCAAACCTTTAATGATAAAATCAGTTTGTATCAGTTTTAACTTTCAATGCCAAAAAGGCAACAGTTTTGAAGGATGTGAGTTTTTTTTCGCCCATCATATTTCTGAAAATTGAAAGTTTGTACTTGAACTTAAAAGAGGAAAGGTAAATAACAAATAGAAAATATAATGGGCAGAATACGCAAAAAGAAAGAGAGTGAACATTTAATCGAACTCCTAGCAGTACTTCTCAAGTTATAGGAAATTGTTGGCATGTGTCAAATTTTTAAATATCTTTATGAACACAATATTCTAAATTTGGTAACTTCATTAACGTTACAAGACTAAGTTCTATCATTGTCAGCGTTAGATCATCAATTCCATAAGCACCCGATCTTAAGCTATCTATTGCCTGTAGTATTTCATGTGGCTCGATAACTCTTCGAGAAAATTTGTTCAATGGGTTGAGTTTATGTACATTAAAAATTGAGTTTGAGAGCATATATTATACAATTAACGAATCTATATCATTAGGATACCTTAAAATACAATTGTACGTCCACCAGAAGCATTTCAAAATTCATATCTAAAAGAACAAGTTTTATATTATACTTTTTCTATATTATCAAAATTGCATGATACGTTAGTTTTCAAGAAATAGTTTCATGTTTCCACACCTATTCGCTGCCGAAGAAGGGTTTAAGATCGGATGTATGTGATTATTTATATAAATGAGACAAACATAGAAATAAGGAAACCAAAACAATTTATTCCTTAAAATAAGTATTGCGCGTTATGTAAAGCAGTCGGATGGCTAAAATTTTACTTTATGCATATCCACAGGTAATTGATTGTTTATTTTCTCTGATAAGTGTTATATTCTAAGTTTTTTTCTCTCTCTCTCTATAGTTTGTGTCAATGTTTTCCAGGTCGGGTTGAAAAACAGCATAAGCTGAAACTCCACCTTTTCGTCACTGTTCCTTTTAAACCAATTATTTTGTAATCGTGTGACGAATGAAGGCCATTTATTATTATTATTATTAGAATGACCTTTTTCAGCCATTATTCTGTTTATTTCATGTTATATATGCCGGCTTATGCATTTTGATGAGGGTATACAAATCAATTTTCAACATGTCAGTGAAATGTATTTTTTTGCCTTAGTCACTTTTTCATATGATCCTTCTTAAAGTAGTAGGACATTTGTCTATCTGAACATTGTGGTACGGAGCGTTATCTATAACCAAAACACTATTTGGTGGTAGGTTGGGGTTCAGTTTATCCTGAAGCCATTTTTTATATTTTTGCTATAATAATAATGGTTTATTGGTGCTATTATACAGAACTTTTTGGGATGGGTTGGACATGAGTAAATTTCCAGTTTTCTGGGAAGGTGCCGGATCCATAAGCTATCTGGAAGAGACGCGAAAGAACTGGAGCAAGCTCCGCTGCATACCTCTTCAGTACAATGGCAGGGATCAAACGTCCGGACCTGAAGCTTTGTGGATGTCGAGCAACAACAGCACTCGTCTTACGGTCTTATGCCTGAATGTTACCTCCCGCATAGTGTAGGGAACCTTTTGTATTGACGGCACTTGGGCGTTGGGGGGGACGTCCATGGTGGAGTTGGCAGCACAGATCTTGGCTAGCACTTCCGCCTTGGCCTTTGAGTCGAATACAATAGTTCCATCCTGACAAGTAAGTGGTGGAAGGCTACTGTGTGGGAAGTTCTTTTCAATCTGCTTGGCCAGCGTCCAGAAAGACCTACTGCCATTGCGCTGCGACATTACCTTGTGCACTTTTATATCGTGCTAGTTGTTGGCAGTGCGAACCGCTTCGTTATATTTGTTTCTGGACTCTGCAGTAGGGTTTTTTAAGAAGGTTCTGTATGCCTTGATCTTCTGCTGGCGAGCAGTGTCACAAGATTTGTTAAACGTGCCGTTGGACCCTGGTTTAGACACGTTCACTGTGTGAGGGATGTATTCCTTCATTCCGACGTAAATCATTTCGGTTATCGAAGAACAGACAGCCGACGCATCCGCGTCAGTGAAACAGACTTATCTCCAAGGAAAACTAGAGAAGAAGTCTCTGAGCCCCACCCAGTCGGCATGTCCGTAATGCGGTCTGTACGAGTTTCTACTGTCAGAACGGGTTCTGACCGAAACCTAACCTCCTCAACACCGTTTTCTGAGTTACCCAAGGGGGACAGGACAGCGGTGTTGTAAGGGACAGGATGCGTGGTCAGAAAGAGATCCAGCAGGCTACTGGCATGTGGCGAGACGCGAGGGAAAAGAGTAGGGCGCGTCACCAGCTGGGTCAGCCCTTGAGTAAGAGCGAACGCTTCGACTGCACGACCTGCTGCATCGGTTTTGTTTGAGCCCAACCAAAGCTGATTATGGGCATTGAAATCACCGAGAAGAACTACCTCTGAAGCGGGGTGATTGATGTTCAGGAAGTCGAAGGGAAAGCGATAAAGGCTGCAGATAAATTTGGGTGATGTTTTGGAGTTGAGGCGAAGCCACAGAATGTCCTTCCGGTCTGATTCCAAAGAAACATCTCTGCAGCAGGGAAGACTACTGCGGACAAAAGCCACAACTCCCCCGTACTTTCTCAGATTGAAGTGCACCTCGTAGTTTGGGAAAAGCTAGCGGGTGGTACCGCCTCGGTCGATTGGTCTTAGTCTACCACCTTTTTTTACGTGTTAGTGATATTAAATAGAAATAAAGTGGCCCGTTGGCGGACTTGTACCGCTACCCGGCAATCGGTACTGGAGTCTTCCTTAACGCGTATACAATCACTTGAACGAGAAGAAGTTGTGTACTGGAATCGCATCCTTATCTTCATTGTATGTAAAAGCACGAAAAGAAAATTATTTTTTTCTGCTATGATTATCCATATAGCTTAGTGTGAAGTGGTGAAGTGCCATGTGACGGTAAGCTTTCTAAAAGGTTATTAACAACGGTGGTGAAAAATGAATTAAGCTGGTTAGCGTTTAGTGTTGTGGTAACTACAAGGTGCATTTTGCCCTAAATTTCAAGCCTTAACTTTTCTCAACGGTTCTCTAGAAGTTTGGCCATAAAAAATAACGGATTCTTGTTTCTCTTACTAGAAAACATCCCTATACCGGGTCTTATGCCAAAATCGGGAATACTTCTCAAGCAATAAGGAAAAATAGAAAATAAAATTGTAACTTTGACACCCTGTATCTCGCAAACTATCAACTTTTGGACCTAGGTATGCTTAGATCAATTCACATATTTTGGTCTGTAGTATCTTCAGTTTCGAGATTTCACAACCTTTCGCAGACACCCTGTATAGATCACTACCAATACCAATTGACATTTGAACGAAACATTTTGTTGATCAAAGGTATGGTGATATTTTATGAATAAACAGGGTGATTTCTGTGATAAATGCATCAATATGAAAATTAAATCAAGAGTGTCTTATTCATTTATTATTAATGTGGTTGCCCCCGCTGGATACAGAACCGACGCCTCTGTTTCTATATTGGTAACCGCATTATGAAGTGCTCATCGTAATTAAATGTTGGGCACAATAGCGTATTCAGGGGGGCTTTGGGGCTCTTGGACTCCCCCTTCCAATAACGCCACGGCTTGGTATATTTCTCTTTACATATTATAACAGTCAATACTTTTTGTGAAATGTAAACCTTCCCCTGGCCTATTTACAAAAATTAGGTTTCCTCCGTCTATCTCCGGAGTTACTTTGAATCTCGAAACTTTCTGAGCGGATTATGTTGATTATCCAAATACACAACTTTGCTCTCATTCAAACAACTTCGTATAGTTACAGTTTCCAAGATCCCAATGGTGAGGATTGAATTTGAAACACCCTGTATAGTGTTAGTAGTGGAAAAAATTTATACATACCTCGCACGATAAAGCTATTATTGATCGGGCACAATATATCCTTCACCGCTACGCGCCTTGGGATATAAGAGTGCTCGATTTATAATGTACCACTTCTCATCCTAGGTATGTAGTATACTATTTCTTGAGTTGATTTTTGAGCGAATGGAATTTCATGGCAACAGAGAATTTGTTGCATGTGTGATTCGTAGTTTAAATTTCAATTCCAAATCGCCACGCCCAGACTTTCTTATTCATTAATACCTATTTATTCTTTTCGTTTCTTGGTTGAACCAAGGACCCCTGAAGTCATTCTCAATTATTTATTCTCATAAACATTTTATAATATTTATTTGAGATTAGGAAAGATTTGAATTTCATACTAACAGTCCTCTACCAATACTAAGCAATCGTGTAATCTACCTCGTCAGGCACTAAAAGCTGATCAGCGAGGGGATAATCTACAACAATTGCGATTATTAGGTATGGCAACATTGTCGCCTTTACCGGGATGACGTAATATGCAGGCCCTGCAAGTTGATCCTTCATTTAGAATTTTGGTTTCTTCATGCTTTCGTGTTTTCTGGTGTTCTTAACAAGTGGATTTCTTTAAAATATTTCCAAGATATGTAAGTAAAACTTACAACAGTCTATGATTTCAACATTATTAAACGGTAATATCCCAACAGAGCTCCAGTAAAGCTTTGCCAAGTCGTCGAAGGACGACCAGAAGGTTTAAGATAGGGTTTTTTCATATAAATGATGATTCAGAAAGCAATTGCATTACTTCAAGGGTAACAGTTTTCTATTATCCTTATTCATAAGTAAAATTCTGTAAATGCAGATATGTTAATAAATAGCCATGGATTTCAAATGCCGCTTTACGAATAGTGAAATTACAAGCCTCGGTATCTCAGTGGCGGAGCACTTCACTTGTAAACCAGGGGGCAGGTTGTGGTATACCTTTTTTATTTTTTTAACACGATTTTTAACACGCTTTTATTAGCTTGGCCTGCATGTATCTAACGGAATCTTTGAGCATAATTTTCACCAATTTCCAGAAGTTTGAATACATCGAAACTTAGCACACGTATCAAGGACTAATGACAATGCAATAATTTGATAATAGTTTTCCATTATCCTTATTAGGACCGCCAGGATTGATAATTTTTTTTATAGATCCTCTGTAGGGGAGTAAGAGAGATAGAGATATCGCGCGATCTGCGAAAAGAGCTGGAATCTAACATAAAGCTAAAAGAATGAGTTCTATTTAGTCTATGTAGTTTTATGCCCCATACCAGTCATACATAAACGTACACGTAGGCAGTCTGGCACACGATGTGGATTGCCTAGTGGTGTTGATACTCGAGTACTCGTTACTCATAGATGCCCGAAGTAACGAGTACCAACACGAACACGAAATGACTACTTTAATTATTTTGATTACTCTGTTTTCTGTATCCCAACCGGCACGGGTATCGCGTATCTTGAAAAGTGACATTATGCCAATTTTTGTTGACATTAAACTGGTTTTTTTTTTTGACGTTATGTAGGTTTTTCTACAAGATATTAACTTAGCACTTAGTTGTATGTGTTGCCTAAACGTCATGAGGCTTGTTATCAATCTTTGGCTCTGATGTGATGTAAAATCTGCTTCTGAGATGACATTACTGGAGGTCTAAGCTATATGTTGTATGTGTTGATGATAATTACATTGGGTTCTTGTCTCAAATACACTTAATTGAGATTCAAAGCTAGAAATTAGTTGCGCATCTACTTTTTCTTATCCATTCTGGAATTTACATATACAAATTTGCTGAATTTAAAAAATGAGAGATAAGAAATAATTATATTCACTGTACACTGTCCAATTACAAGCCATATACATGCTAACAGTAATTACACACAACGCGGGCGCGGTGATGATTTCCCGTAATTATCCTCAGTTTTTCGTAATTTATAACTTTGAACATAACCTCTCTTCAGAAAGCACAACATCAAAATAACCCGTCGGGCACAGCCAATAGATATACTTCATTAGCAGCATATTCAGTAATGATTTTCTCACACAGCAAATATCACTGATTTTATAGACAGACCAATACACATAATCATCCAGATGCGATCTTGCTATTCAACCAACTTTCTTCTCAGAGATAAAAACTACAGACAAGGACCATTTGGCTCCAGAAAACATATGCAACCCAATAATCCGTTTAGTTTAGTTGAATGATTCCTCCTTAGATGAACGTTCACAACGATCCTAGTGAGCAAACGTGGAATGACTGTTTGCGGCCTAAAAACTACCTAGTTTGCAAGATGACATCTAACAGGTTTTTTTGGCGTTTTATAGGTTTTTTACATGATACCCATGCCGGTACCCGTACAATCGTTGATCGTTGATCGTTGAGTGGCAACGCTGGTTTGACTGTAGCACTGCCGCTCATGCATCAGGGTTGCCGGACATCCCACATTCGGGTGGAAACATGGAAACTCAATTTTTTTTTGATTGGCGGACATAGAATTTGGTAATTATTTTCAAATCTGAAGTTTACCTATTTACACCGTGACACAAATTCGCTTTTATTGTTGTGATCTTGGGAAAGTGAAAAGGAGTAAGAAGTCGATTGGATAGGAGCAAAGTTCGGCAGTATTATGACGCAGAAAAGCGGCAACAAGGTAACACCACCATTTAGGAAAACCACAATAATAAAAGTTATGTCTATTTGACTCGAGCTTACATGCACTGTTTTGCTAAAAAGTTATAATTCAATATGACCACCAATAGTATGTGTAGACTAAGGTTTTTATACTGGTATATGCTTAATTGAAGTGCTTCGAAAAGTATAATACAGATCATCTTTCTGACTAAAAGACATGTTTTTAAGCATTTCTAGTAAATACAAAGTATTTTCAGTTTGTAGGCTCATATTTTTTTTTTTTATATTCCAACTACCACGAAGGCCTAAGGCCTAAACACCCATTGGGTACCGTGGGGCTATGAGGGACACATGGGAAAGGGGGGACGCCACACGGACTCTGGCGAGGGAACACGTGTGCATGCAACATGACCACATTCTGGCTCCGCCTATGAGAACCGCCGGGTGGTACCTCCGCGTTCGACAGTCATAGACCATCTACCACCTACGGACAATCACAACATCCATAGCCAAGAGAAAAATTTCTCCTGGGACGGGACTCGAACCCGCACAGCGCACGGCGACTGATCAGGAGACCGAACAGTCTAATACTGCGGCCACCGCTGCTGCCTATGACTCATATGACACTCCATCCTATAATAACCTATCTCGTTAGGCATACAGTTTGAAGATACAATGAGTGCATTAAACACGACAAATTTGAATAGACTATGCCTTATAACATTTTGCATATTTTAAGATTGTCTATTTTCTTACAAGATTCGGTTCCACTGAACCTGTTCATATTCAACATTAATTACAGGACGCACGTTTACAAATCGTCATACTCATACTACTCATAGTAATCAAAGTAACGAATACAATAAATGATTTCATTGTAGCAGAGTAACGATTAGTAGCGAGTACTCTAAAGTAACGATAATCAACACCACTAGCCGATTGCCTGCAATTTTATACCAACTTCCTTATATATAATATAATGTTATATTATATCCTGCATATTACAGAAATATCGCGCCATGTGTGTGTATCGAGCCGCCACGCACGGACGCTATAAGATATATTTATATGCAAGTGATGTATTACTTAATACGTATCTGTCGGGATATGCTTACCAAGCGATATTTTTTTTTTTTTTTTTTTTTGGTGAGGGGGGAATGCATTTACGCACCATACCATAGCCCGAGCTACGGCGTGTGTGGGACTCCAGGGTCTTGAGGAGAGCACCTAATACCCACTAAACCCTAAACCTCCGCGTGGCCTGACTCATCAGCGTTTCGGTAAGGCCATGTGTTGTGCGTCACCTGCGGTCTGCTACAACGTCTCCTCATGTGTTTCAGTCTCTGGGAACGCCGGGTTGGTTCCCTTTACCTCGCACATTCTATCGATGTCGTTAAGCGATCATCGATAGAGGGTCTGCTAGGTTCTCTTGAAACTCTTGTTTTCGAAAAATCAAGAGTTTCAAGTCCTCTTAAGCGATATTCTGCCCTATATCGCGCTATATCTATCCTCCCCTTGCGTGGCGACACCCGTAAATGCCAACGAACCGCTCTTGCTGGCGGCCGGCTTGGCGCGGTGTTGCCACTTTGTTCTTGTACTTCGGAATTCGCAATAGCCTAAATGGGGTATTTTATTGAAAGTGTAAAAAAACATCCATGTTTATGGAAGGTAGACTCGAACGAGTATTAAAATAATGAGACTAAAGAAGCAGCTTGGAAGACTATCATCGCTGATTGCGATTTATCCGACAGAATGTATTCAACTTGTACATATTTATTTTTATATAAATAGGTAGTTTGAAAACTAATAGTAGGGGAGCCCAAGAGGGGATTTTGAAATTTAATCAAGCCCGGCAGATTAACATATGGGGGATACCTTGTACCCTTCTTGAGCACCTCTATCATATATGTACATATAAGCTAAGGTAGATCTTTTTGAGTGACTCCCCATTTAGCATCGTGCGCTCCCCTACTATAAGTAGAAATGTCCAAAAGAGTTTGAGGGATTTTAGACTGTGAACTACATTTTACTTTTACGGTAAAAAAAACTTGATCCAACCTTAGAAAAAGCTTATTTAAAGACAAAACAAAGGGACTTATTAGAAATATATTGTCCATTTCGCGATTCAATTCGACACACGAGTTTGTTGCCAAGGAATGCTTCCATACGTATTAAAATATCTACACAATTCTTCGCTTATTATATCATGCAATTCATAAATTTTTTTTCTATCCATTCAGAAATAATTCGCGGATTTTTCATCACTTAAGTCTTTGAACAGTGTAAATTCTCCTCGTTCCTTCCGAAACTTGATATGGTTAGATAACCAGTATCTATGGTTTTCTTTTTGATTAGAAGCAATCACTGCTAAGAGGTAATCGTTTTCGGCATTTGCTTCATCTTCTGATGAGCTATCGATTCTGTCTAGTATTAGCAAGTCATTAAGCCTCTTAGACATTTTGAATGAACACCAGAATTAAATGATGAAACATTGGTTAATTAAATACACTGTGTTCAGCACAGATCAGCAGATCAGCCTACTCACAGAAATACTAAGAAATTGGCAACACTGTTAGAAAGATATGAAAATATATATTCGTCCGTTGCAGTCAAAATATGATATAATATTATAGCGTATTGTACGACTATAATATACAGGGTGACTTTGAAGTTGAGTCATTAATTTTCAGATAATGATTGTAGAAGGAAGATAAACCAAAATATGTGTGTAAAAATAAAAAAAAATTAAAAAAAAAATTTTACCGTGTTTTATAAAGTATCCTCCCGACAAGTATTTCAGTGCGGACCTGTATTTGATCGTGAGGTCTTGGAGCACCGGCATGCCATCCCCTGTGAGGTCTTAAGTCACCTGATTCACGAGCCGTTGTACTACATTAACAAAGGCACGAGGGGTTGGTTGCACTCGATTGGGAAACCGATCCGCATAAACATGTGCCATTTTTGATTTCGTTTGAGCCACGCAACAGACACCACTATTCACTCACGCGTTACCGACTGACACTGACTGTTTTCAACTGAATAAAATAATTGTAAAAACATCGTTCCAAATTCTTTCGCTTTTTTGTTTCCGATGCGATGAACCGATAAGGCGGATTATATCCGTTGTTGCCAAACACGAGCACATAATATTATTATTGAGACAGGGCGGTACTCAAACTTCCACAGGGCTATAACTTTGTTACTTTAATTTTACCAAAAAAATGGTAAAGGAAAAAACATTTCTTTTGATCAGATCTACTCACTGTTAAAATAAATGACTCAACTTCGAAGTCACCCTGTATATTATATTATCGCTCACCGTAAACTTGCCAGCTTAAGGGAACCACAGCTCATCTGTACTTAATTGAATATTGAATTAAAATGTCAGGTAATGAGACTTCAAGTTCGGGGGCCAAACAGAAAGATATTCATAATCATATAAACAAGAATGGGAAAAGGGGATTCAGTGATGGTTGCAAAGGAGTTTGAGGAGCAACCAGTATGCTCATTGTGCAAGTTGTAATAAATAACTTAAGATTTTTTCAGGAACATATGCCCTCAGCAGAACCTGTTGGCTATGTGCGCGCAAAACAATTATATACTTTTTCCATAGAGGGCGCTGCGTGACACAAGCAGCAAGTCCCTTGATCCATCGCTGACCTTGTCAGGGTCCTCATTTCCTCCTCCTACCGAGTTTGCCCTTGGATCTACTGAATTTCAATGCCACTGTCTACAAATTTCGTCCTTCATACAATAAGTAAACATCATTTTAAACGTAAAATGTAAAATAAGCAAAACGGACTTATTTTTACCAGAAATGCATTCATCTTCTACATGTCTAATAAATGAGTCATTACTCAAGATAGAATTACGGATGTATGTGATACAGAAGTCTACATCCATGTTTCCACTGTTTGCACGGTGATAAAAGGTAAAGACCGTTGGATAGACCACTGAAAATGGGCGACAAAGATTATTGTAACACTTATACATAATGAGACGTCCAAAAACCCATTATCAAGTTATCACAATCACCTGGCTGTAGAATACAAAGAACATTCAAGATTAGTGTCTTTATGTATTTTTTTATATTTCAGGGATTCGTTTAATGAGAGTGATAGACTCCGCTTACTTTCACTAGTAAAGATCGAGTACGATAGGCTGATGTTTTGGAGAAAAATCACGGAAGACCCTTGGGAGCCCATACTCCTCAATGTTCTATGGTCGTCGTTTCCTGAACGTAGTCCGTCCAAATTAAGGGCACAGTGGAAGCGCTTGATAGTAAGTTAACACATTTCACTAGAATCATTCGTGAGATTTGACTACTTTGTGAGTTTATTTTTGTTACAAAAGTTCTAGGCAGACTAGATTTGCGGAACGTTTTAAAAACTAAAATCATAATTTTTCGAGAACCCACATACCGTTATATACAAAAATTAAGGCTCTTAATAACACTTATTTAGGGCTTAATATAGACTAATAATGATTATTTTTTAATGCCTTTTTTGTAGACGAAATTCACATTTCTATGATTTTTTAAACATGAACAAGAGATTGTTAAAAGTATTCAATTTTCTGTAAATAAGGATTTGCCAACTTTTGAAAAAATTTAATAATTTTACAAATAACAAAAAATGAAATACTCTTAAAAAAGCCCTTGGCGCTAGCCCAGTCCCAACTGTGTATGTTAATTTAAAAGTTATATTGGTCAGCGACTTTATTTCCATAAAGCGCGTTATGGTTTTTACAAAAAGATTTCTAGGAAAATGTTTTGTCTTTAATAATCTTGGTCGTTTATAATCCCATTTTTTTTTATTTCTCAAAAATCAAGAGACAGGTGTACTCTATAGCCTTGACACAAAACTGAGAATGTTATGCGTTACCGTTTTTAATCACCTATGTGTTTTGTTATGTATCTGCGAAAGGTTGGGAAATCTCGAAACTGGAGATACTACAGACCAAAATATGCGAATTGACCTAAACATACCTTAACCCAAAAGTTGATAGTTTGCCAGATAGAGGATGTCAAAGTTACAATTTTGTTTTATATTTTTCCTTATTGCTTGAGAAGTATTTCAGATTTTGGATGGTAAAGGGAGGTTTTCTAGTATGAAAAACAAGAATCCGTTATTTTTTATCGCCAAACTTCTGGAGGGCCCCACTTACAGCACTATTTCGGTAAATAATTTATCATAACTTTTTTGTACTACCCTGAATACAACAACAAAAATTATAATTTTCTCGTATTTCCACAACAAGAACTTGTTAGAAATGTCTAAAGCCATTACTATTCGAGATATTTGGTTTTAAAAGTTCCAGTGCATTATTCATACCATGATGAATGATAAAACATTTTTATAACTTAATAATCAAGTTTCTTTGGATAATATTTGAGTAGCATTGCTATGATTTCTAATGTTTGTCATAATACTGCTTTAAACTTCATGAATAATTTTAAGTTGACAATAAGTTGTTAAACATCATGGAGTATACGTTTGATGAATATTCTGATATTTATGCACGAATTGGAGGGATTTAATTATTTAACAGCACCAAGATTGTACGCTGACAGATTCCCTAATAGACACCTGCCTAATTCAAAGACTTTCCAACGTATCGATGAGCGGTTACGAGAAACTGGTAAGAAATGATTATAGCCTTATTTTGTGTAGTAAAAACCATTTGGATTTTAGGTAGTTTTTCTCAAAATATGGGCCGACATGATGGAGCTCCCAGAACTGCTGAAGTTGAAGAAAATGTTTTAGATGCTGTCTTTGAAAATCCTACAGTTGGGGTTAGGAATGTAGCTCGAAAATGTCAAGTTTCCAAATGTACAGTAAATACCATTTTTCAAGAGCAACTGCTCTATCCATCCATCTGCAAAAAGTACATGGTTTAAGCGCGGATGATGACCCCGCAAGGGTGGTATTTTGTACATGGCTCTTAAGGAAGTTTAACCACGACAATGGTTTTACTTCGTCAATACTGTTTTCGGACGAAGCAGGATTTGGAAGGGATGGGCCCATTAACTCGCATAGTCTCCATGCAATAATACAAACCCGCTGAGTTACCACCTAGACTGAATGGCCAAAGGTATTTACAAACTCTTAAAGAATAATTACCCACTCTGCTGGAAGATCTTCCATTACGAACACGCATGAATATGTGGTTTATTCACAACCATATTTTAGCATATCAGTTAGAGAGCACCTAAATAGAGCTTATCCAGATCAGTGGATAATCCGATCAGGAGCTGTATAGTAGCCGGTTAGATCACCAGATTTAAATCCTATTTATTTCTGCTTCTGGGATGATTTAAAACGACGCGTTTTCAATACGCCAGTGGAAACTACAGATGATCTTCGACAAACATTAACCAGGAAATGAAAAATAACATCAAAATGCTTTGGAGAGTGCAGCAAGGATTAGTTCTTCGAGCTCGAGAGTGTGTTAGGCAAGGTGGTGTTCATTTTGGAAAATTTTTGTAGTTATAATTTCTGTTTATTAGTTTTGTTGCTAACATCATCTGTTATTGTTAAAAACCATAGCAACGCCAAGGCAACTTGATTATTATGTTATGAAGAGGTTTTATCATCATGGCACAAATAATGCATTGGAAATATCTCGAAAACTATTAGCTTTAGACACTTCTAATAAGTACACCTTTTTTTTGTAGAAAATACAAAAAAATAAGCTTTCCGGTCAGTTGTTGTATACAGGATAGCACAAAAAAGTGATTATAAGTCATTTACCGAAATAGTGCTGTAAGTGGCGCCCTCTAAAAGTTTGGCCATAAACAATAACGGTTTCTTGTTTCTCATACTAGAAAACCCCCCTATACCGACTGTTATGCCAAAATCTGAAATACTGCTCAAGCAATCAGGAAAAGTAGAAAATAAAATTGTAACTATCAACTTTTGGACTAAGGTATGTTTAGGTCAATTCACACATTTCAGTCTGTAGTACCTCCAGTTAACGAGATTTCCCAACCTTTAGCAGAGGCAAGGGTCGGTCCAACTTAAAGTGGGCTGTCTATGGATGTCATCTACCTAAAGCTAAAGCTCATTGTGTCACCCCCTATGATGAGAAACTAAAAATTAACGATTATAGTCAGAATATTTCGATGCATCGAAGTTATCTGTTTTGTTTATATTATGTTAAGTGCCTGGAGTGATGCTGAAAACGTGGTAAATGAATTCTTGAGTCTGATGTTGTACGTTGTATGCGGTAGGTTTTTCAGTACATGGAAATGATATGAAATAGGATCCGTCAGAAAAAACGCATGTTTTTCGAATGGGTACTGAATCGAGTGGGCTGGTCTCGTGTCGGTGGGGAAGGGCGTGTTGGATAGTTGGAGAAGTGCCGTTTCCCTTGCCAAGATGGTTTGGAACGTTGAGCATCGTGTATTCACTGTACGTCACTACTTTCAAAATGGCGAGTCTGTCGTTCGAACGCAACGTGAGTTTCGCGTTCACTTTCGTGTTCCACGTCGTGGGACAGTACCAGACCGTAAGACCATTTTGAGATGGGTGAAAGCTGTATACAGCAGCACAACAGGTAGTGTGTTCAAGAAAAAAAAGCCAGTGCGAAACCGTACTGTTAGAACCCCCGAAAACGTAGACAGAGTGAGAGTTGACACACTGCAAAGCCCGAATCGTTCCGTCCGTTTGCGTGCCAGTTTCCTAGGGAACGCGTCCTCTGTACGTCACATCTTGAAGAAGGATTTAGTGTCCCACCCTTACAAAATCCAAGTTTGTCAACAACTGTTGCCAGGGGACTATGCACAACGTGTTAATTTTGCACAGCTCATGATAAAAATGACATGACGATGTTATAGTGGAAGCATATTTTCATTTACATGGATACGTCAATAAACAAAATTGTCGATATTGGTCTCCGGTGAACCTCCAACAGTTGCATGAGCACCCCCTGCATACCCCGAAAGTTACCGTTTGGTGTGCAGTAGGAGCAACGATGATTATTGGCCCTTATTTTTTTGAGGATGATGGAGAAACAAGTACTGTCAATTCAGAGCGTTACGTTTTTCGATTTAAGGCGGCTCCGACGCAGTGAGTTTCAAGCCATTTACAAGGGTTCAGCTGCTTCAAAACTGACACTCCATTTTTCAATATTTCTTGAATGAAATTAATACAGTATGTTGAGAAGTTAATAGCCCAGGGTGCTAAAGGAGCACTTTTTGGAATCTTGTTTTTGCACAAGTTTTATGATGAGTTGAAGCGCGCACTTTTTCTGTTCAACTTAGTGATTTTTTTAAAAAGAACCTAGTGAAAAAAATGAAAAAGTGGCTCTATGGCACCCTGTGGTTTTTCAGAACTCTGTGAAAATTTCATACAAAAAGTCCAGCTTCCCGAAGTCCCACTATACGGCCCCTATCAAACTCATTAAGTTGACGAAATCGTACAGGTCTCCGTACTCTAGGCATCGTAACCGATCGTAAAGGATGTCAAGAACCAAAATCCGCCAACGTTGATTCTTTACTGCGGCTGAAATATTCATTTTTAGAGCGTTAGTGAATTAAAAAAAAGCAGTATAAAAACCGGAATGTCCAACTGATAAGGCTGAAAATTTTTTCACTTGTTATTTACAGTAAGATAAATACATTCACCAACTTTTATTAAAATAAAACCATTTAAACTAGGTGTTCGGATTTATATGTCACTTAGTATATTTTGACATAATAAAATATTTTGTCTGTACTACTCATTTAAAGAACATGCGTTCTTTCTGTCGGACCCTAGTAGGTTAGCGCTAAGTGTAATATACAGACATGTAGCCGGATACCAGATGGCAAGCTGCAGTGCGATTGGTTCTTGGGACTGCAGTGTGATCCTGTAAACCATAGTAGGGGATTTGTGATAGTGTGGTTAATGGTGACGGGGTGTCGAATCTACGCGGATCATAAGATGTCTACAGAATGTCGAGCTAGAATGTGTTAGCGTCGACGGGATCTTGACACAACATAAACAAATCAGATGCGTCTTCGATGTATCGAACTATCCTGACCATAATCATTAATATTTATTGCCCCAGGTGTCGGTAACAAGTAATTCGTTTTTTGTTACAGCATGACGCTTTGAGCAGCGAAAATCCAAGAAACGTCGACTTAGAGGTTCGAAAGTTCCTATCTGAACACGCTGCATACATTGAATGGTTAAAAGAGAAACGTGAGAAATCGTCTGAGCAAGGCGCGGCAAGTGGACTGTCGGAAGAAGCAACAGATAATTGTTAAGCCTCTTTTTATTGCTGCAAGTTGTTCAAGGGGGTATTTAAAACATGGACGCATAAACTGGGTACAGCAATTTTTGTAAAACTTTTATTCAACAACAAAGAATGAGAAAACGTATTTTTTTGGGATTCAGTCGAGTCGAGTGTTGACAGGAACGGAAAAACTCTTCATATAATATTCTTAGGTATTCATGAGACCAACAAAATGAGACCACGCATAAAAAGATTCGACTAATAGCAAAACAGTTATGGCCGAAAGCCAATGCAAACTGCAGGTTTTGGCAATTCTTGCTAATGCGACGATGGTTTCTCGCAAATACTTGAAACTCTTCGAAATCGTAGGATTCGTACTTCCAAATAACCACAACAAAATTGGAGTAGATTAGTCTAGTAGTTTTTGAGAATTTCTTGTTGTTTATCCCAAATCACCTGTCTTCCGGCCACCACAATACAGGCTTAGTTCGAAGGGCATTTATAGCAAAATTACAATAGTTTACCTTAACTTTTGGGATAAACAAGTAGAAATTCTCAAAAAACTACTCGACCAATATACTCCAATTTTATTGCTGTTATTTAGAAGTATGAATGCTACGGATTTCACGAATTCCAAGTAGTTGCGTGAAATTATCGTCGCATTACCAACAAGTGCCAAAACCTGCATTTTGCCTGGTTTCTCGGCGACAACATTCTTGCTATTAGTCGCATCTTTTTACATGTGGTCTCATTTTGTAGGTCTCATAGGTACCTAAATATCTCGTATGAAAAGTTTGTCCGTTCCTGCCAACACTTTCGATTGAATCACAAAAACACCTTTTCTCATTCTTTGTTGTCGAATAAAAAGTTTTCCGACAAAAATTGGTGTACCCATTTTATGCGTCCGTGTTTTAAATAAACCGTTGAACAACTTGCACCAATAAAATCAGACTTTACAATCATAATGATTAGACTATTAGTTAACTAGTTGCTATTAGGTTTCTAACTAAAATATTGATGTTACTTGTTCCCATGTTTTGTGTCAAATAAAATATCCAAAAAACATGGCAGCATTTTCATTTCGTCTACACCTTTAATGATAAGATCAGTTTGTATCAGTTTTAACTTTCAATGCCAAAAAGGCAACAGTTTTGAAGGATGTGAGTTTTTTTTCGCCCACAATATTTCTGAAAATTGAAAGTTTGTACTTGAACTTAAAAAGGGGAAGGAAAATAACAAATAGAAAATATAATGGGCAGAATCCGCAAAAAGAAAGAAATTGAAATTTTCATCCAAATCCTAACAGTACTTCTCAAGTTATAGGCGCTTATAAAATTAATGGACAGACCGACAAACAGACCGACGGAAACGAGTGACATGGTTTTTCGTGATGTACAGCTCCTCAAGTGTAGGAAGAGGTATGAGGATTTGGCGAGGTTGCGCACACGAGAGAGGGAGAACGCATTCGGAGCAAAAGAGATGGCACGTACAATACGTGCCATTCGATCTCGAGTGGTACAGTCGGCGTCCTAAATTAATCGAATAATTTCAATAATGGAAAACGTATTATGTGCCTTTTTAAACCGAAATTGTTGGCATGTGTCAAATTTTTAAATTTTTTTTTGTGAACCCAATATTCTAAATTTGGTAACTTCATTAACGTTGCAAGACTAAGTTCTATCATTGTCAGCGTTAGATCATCAATTCCTCGAGCACCCGATCTTAAGCTATCTATTGCCTGTAGTATACTAAGTGACATATAAATCCGAACACCCAGTTTAAATGGTTTTATTTTAATAAAATTTTGTATAAGAACTTAATGAAGCATAATAAGTAAATGATAAAAATTTCAAAATGATTGCACTGCTTTAAAGCCCTTTGACCTTTAATAATGTGTGGATGCACCCTGATGTGCTACGCATTCTCCAACGCGCCTAGGCATGCTTCTGATCAGGTGGTCAATGTCCTCCTGTGGTATCTCATTCCAGGCAACCACCAACTCCTCTCGAAGTGCTTCTAGAGTCTGAGGAGGACGTTGCAAATTGAGCAATCTCCTACCCATCATATCCCACACGTGCTCAATTGGGGATAAGTCGGGAGATCTTGGTGGCCATGGTAACAATGTGACATCATTATGTTGAAAGAAGTCTATTGTGACTCTTGCAACATGTGGCCGGGCATTATCTTGTTGGAAAGTTGGATCTGCCAGGGTGTCAAGATAGGGTAAAAGATGGGGTTCGAGAACTTCGTGGATATAACGCTGCGCGTTCATGTTACCTCTGATGAAGATTAAAGGTGACCTGGAACCATAAGCTATAGCACCCCAAACCATAACTCCAACAGTGTGATGAACATGTCTTTCAACAAAAAACTGTGGATTCCTCCTTTCACCACGTCGCCTTCTAACCCTGGCACGACCATCGTGCATGCCTAAACAAAAACGAGACTCGTCACTTAAGACAATACTGTTCCATTCCTGATCCCAGAGTGACCGTTGTCTGCACCACTATAGGCGATTACGTCGGTGTTCTCGAGTTAAAGGGAGGACCCAGTGTGGCCGGTATGAAAACAAGCCAAAACTTCTCATTCATCGGTAAACACTTCGCTTGCCAATAGGTCTTCCGTGTTCTGCAAACCATTCATTTGCAATGGACCTGGTAGTGGAGAAACGGTCCCCTAAGGCCAATAATCTTAGGCGGCGATCTTCACGGTCTGTTGTTCTATGGCGGCGTCCAGTGCCCCTTGCTCTTTGCGTACGGCCTTCTCGAAGCCATGCCTGACAACACCTAACCACAGTGTCTACACTTCTTTGCACTCTAACTGCAATTGCCCGAAAAGAAAGTCCTGCTTCCCGAAGTCCCACTATACGGCCCCTATCAAACTCACTAAGTTGACGAAATCGTACAGGTCTCCGTCCTCTAGGCATCGTAACCGATCGTAAAGGATGTCAAGAACCAAAATCCGCCAACGTTTATTCTTTACTGCGGCTGAAATATTCATTTTTATAGCGTTAGTGAATTAAAAAAAAGCAGTAAAAAAACCTGAATGTCCAACTGATAAGGCTGAAAATTTTTTCACTTGTTATTTACAGTAAGATAAATACATTCACCAACTTTTATTAAAATAAAACCATTTAAACTGGGTGTTCGGATTTATATGTCACTTAGTATATTCCATGTGGCTCCATAACTCTTCGAGAAAATTTGTTCCATGGGTTGAGTTTATGTGCATTATAAAATTGAGTTTGAGAGTATATATTATACAATTAACGAATCTACGTATATACTAAGTGACATATAAATCCGAACACCCAGTTTAAATGGTTTTATTTTAATAAAATTTTGTATAAGTACTTAATGAAGCATAATAAGTAAATGATAAAAATTTCAAAATGATTGCACTGCTTTAAAGCCCTTTGACCTTTAATAATGTGTGGATGCACCCTGATGTGCTACGCATTCTCCAACGCGCCTAGGCATGCTTCTGATCAGGTGGTCAATGTCCTCCTGTAGTATCTCATTCCAGGCAACCACCAACTCCTCTCGAAGTGCTTCTAGAGTCTGAGGAGGACGTCGCAAATTGAGCAATCTCCTACCCATCATATCCCACACGTGCTCAATTGGGGATAAGTCGGGAGATCTTGGTGGCCATGGTAACAATGTGACATCATTATGTTGAAAGAAGTCTATTGTGACTCTTGCAACATGTGGTCGGGCATTATCTTGTTGGAAAGTTGGATCTGCCAGGGTGTCAAGATAGTGTGAAAGATGGGGTTCTAGAACTTCGTGGATATAACGCTGCGCGTTCATGTTACCTCTGATGAAGATTAAAGGTGACCTGGAACCATAAGCTATAGCACCCCAAACCATAACTCCAACAGTGTGATGAACATGTCTTTAACAAAAAACTGTGGATTCCTCCTTTCACCACGTCGCCTTCTAACCCTGGCACGACCATCGTGCATGCCTAAACAAAATCGAGACTCGTCACTAAAGACAATACTGTTCCATTCCTGATCCCAGAGTGACCGTTGTCTGCACCACTCAAGGCGATTACGTCGGTGTTCTCGAGTTAAAGGGAGGACCCAGTGTGGCCGGTATGAAAAGAAGCCAAAACTTCTGATTCGTCGGTAAATACTTCGCATGCCAATAGGTCTTCCGTGTTCTGCAAACCATTCATTTGCAATGGACCTGGTAGCGGAGAAACGATCCCTTAAGGCCAATAATCTTAGGAGGCGATCTTCACGGTCTGTTGTTCTACGGCGGCGTCAAGTGCCCCTTGCTCTTTACGTACGGCCTTCTCGAAGCCATGCCTGACAACACCTAACCACAGTGTCTACACTCCTTTGTACTCTAACTGCAATTGCCCGAAAAGAAAGTCCAGCTTCCCGAAGTCCCACTATACGGCCCCTATCAAATTCACTAAGTTGACGAAATCGTACAGGTCTGCGTACTCTAGGCATCGTAACCGATCGTAAACGATGTCAAGAACCAAAATCCGCCAACGTTGATTCTTTACTGCGGCTGAAATATTCATTTTTAGAGCGTTAGTGAATTAAAAAAAAGCAGTATAAAAACCGGAATGTCCAACTGATAAGGCTGAAAATTTTTTCACTTATTATTTACAGTAAGATAAATACATTCACCAACCTTTATTAAAATAAAACCATTTAAACTGGGTGTTCGGATTTATATGTCACTTAGTATATATCATTAGGACATCTTAAAATACAATTGTACGTCCACCAGAAGCGTTTAAAAATTCATATCTAAAAGAACAAGTTTTATATTCTACTTTTTCTATATTTTCAAAATTGCATGATACATTAGTTTTCAAGAAATAGTTTTATGTTTCCGTACCTATTCGCTGCCGAAGAAGGGTTTAAGATCGGATTTATGTGATGATTTATATAAATGAGACAAAGATACAAATAAGGAAACCAAAACAATTATTCCTT